CAAGTGGGGAGGTTTGACAGTTACTCCCCCTTCAGCCTTGCCACCCCCCTAGCGCCCCCCTAGCACTCTCCCCTCCCCCTAGCCAGCGCCTCCAGGGACGACCACTGCTACAGGGCCCCTGGCCAGAGCCCGCCCCTCTGAGGCCTGTGGAACCCTCTGCAAAGCTTCCATATCTACAGTCCCAGGAAACAATCATGCCCTCCTCCCCTAATCAGCACCTGCTACCTGCGAGGGTACCCGTGGGCTTAAAAATAACAATCCCTTCCCGTTTAGACATCACTTACTTGATGAAATATTTCTAGGTTTATTAGCTCAGAACCTCCTCATGACAACCCAGTGAGGTAGGCGGAGAAGGGATTACAATTCCCATGGTAAATGCATATGCAGAAATGAAGCTCAGAGAGGAAAAGTGTCAAGCACAGTGGTTCCCAAGGTTCAGCACATGCCCCACAGCAGGGAGGTCAATTTGATTTTAAGTGGGGACAATTCCAGAATGCGTTAACAGTGAATTTTTTGCATTTCTTATGGTTCGAAGGGGCCCCATCTACAGCATATCCTATATAATGAAAGGTTAATACGTAAATGACTGAATGGTGGAATGACCGGCCACTATGCTGTGCACTGACCACCAGGGGGCAGACACTCAACGCAGGAGCTGCCCTCTGCTGGTCAGTGTGCTCCCACAGGGGGAGAGCCGCTCAGCCAGAAGCCAGACTCACAGCTGGCGAGCACAGCAGCAGTGGTGGGAGCCTCTCCCGCCTCCATGGCAATGCTAAGGATGAGGGATGTCCAACTGTCGGTTTAGGCCGGATCCTGTGGAATCGGGCCTAAACCGGCAGTCAGATATCCCCCAAGGGGTACCAGATTGGAAAGTGTGCAGGGCTGAGGGACACCCCACCTCCAGTGCATGAATTTCGTGCACCAGGCCTCTAGTATACTATATAAAAGCCTAAGCAACTGTTCGACCGGTAGCTATGACATGCACTGACCACCAGGGGGCAGATGCTTAGACCGGTAGGTTAGCTTGCATCTGGGATCTGGCCAGTCGGGACTGGGCATGATGGGCCAGACATGACCTGGAGCCCTCCCGCGGTCCCTTCCCAGCCCCAATCCTGCACCCGTGGGGTCCCTTGGCCTGGCCTGCACTCTCTCGCAATCCAGGACCCAGTTTCTCTCAGAGAGCCAGTTTTGGCCTGATCCCTGCAGGCCAGGCCGAGGGACCCCACTGGTGCACGAATCCGTGCACTGGGCCTCTAGTATATCCATAAAAACCTAAGTAAATTTAAGTAACATTATTGTAATACCTGTTACATCTGGGGTCCTTAAAGAAAGGGGACTGCAAATTAATTATTTGATAGCTCAATTTTGTCTCTTGAGTATTAACATTTTTATCTTAACCACTGGGTTAAAAACTTCTCTGTTTAAAATATATTTTCTACCTTCCTGCCTTATTAACACAACATCCTGAACAAAACTGTGTGTGTTTTTTCTTGATGACACAGACTATTGTTATGACTAATAGTTATGGTTTCACTGTTTATTAGTTTAGTGAAGTCCTCCAAAGCTAGTGTATGGGGAGCTATTTATTCCTACACTAAAGCCACTAATGGTGATGCTTTTCGAATTTTCATTTTGGCTCTTTACTAGTGTTTTTCTGTTTGTTTCTTCCCTAATTCTCTTTCCTGTTACTCCATTGCCTGCTTTTGGCCATCCCATTCCCCCATTCTGATTAGCTCCGAAAACATCCTTTACCTTGTATGCTAAAAGGTGAATGTAAGCTTTGAAGTAAGAAACACTTAAATTCCAACCATGTCTCTGCCATTTACAAACTGTTACTTCACCTCTGGGTCTCAATTTCTTGATATATAAAATGAGGATTAAATTATGAGAGTTGCTAGGAGGATTAATGTTAATGTTTCTGAAGTGCCTACTTCATATTTGTGTTTGAAGACTGGTACTAGGATTGGTTTTAAATAAGAAAGGTATGAGCAGAATAAGAATTTCTGTGAATAAAGCATATGGACTTTGCAACATTCCACGTTTCCTGACAGTCAAGTACTTTCTGTTGTTCATTTCTTATGTCTGGATAATTCAACATGTTAATCACTGATTCCTGGTTAAGTGACATGTAGGTAAATATGTAACTTTTCTACCACCAATTATAAACTGAAAATAGTTTTAATATAATTAGCTGTAGAATTTTGTATTTGTAAAAATATGTATTTAGTATAAATACGTAAAATTACTTGCAACTTTCATTTTCTTTTTTCTGACCCAAAAGATGTCTCTGTGACTATTTTTCATTCATAATAAGAGAAGTATGTGTTCTTGTTTTTTAAAGGGTAAATGGAATGCCAACCTTTTATCAAGGAAATTATTTTCTCTGGAGGTAAAGGGATTTCCTTGGCAAAAGGTTGAGGTTACATTTAGTTTTGGAAACAGGCTGCTTCCTGGCTGTACAAAGTAAAACATATTTTTTAAAGAACTTTGAAAACTAAGAGACATGGAGTTGCTATTGAAAGATTGTGTACAGTGGTTTATGTAGAAATGTTTGAAATATAGGAGGTTTTTTACTCTTATGCTTACACAGTCGCAGTATGAAAAACAAAAAGGTGAATTATACTTGATATAGAGCTAAATCTATAAAATAATTTGTTAGGTCTAAGCTATACTTGTTCTATTCTTTCTAACTAAAGTCTTATGTACTTTTAAATGAGCTTCTAAACTATTCGTATTTAAAACAAAACATTTCCCCTTGATATTCTAGAATTTGCAATTTAATGACTTCTTTCAGTCACTTCAGGGAATGGTTGTTATGATAATATTTACTACATAAGCTGTAAATGTGTTTATAAAGTTATTAGATGGAATATTCCTACATAATATAGAAGATATGGTAATATTTTCAAAGCAAGTCAAAATAGACCAAATTATACCTGTGTTGTATTCTACCTAAATAGTAATGGTGCTAATTTAGATGCTTAGATTGCTTGATATTTTTCTAGTCAGAAAAAAAA